AAGCTGGGCTGGACCCAGAGCTGCAGGCAGAGCTTTGCCAGGACCCAATCCAGCCCTTCCCCTCCTCCAGGCTGCTCTGCCCTCCTGAGCCCACCTATAGAGCGCCTATATATTATGCAAATGAGCTCTAAGGGCTTATTACGCAAACAGGAGGGGTTGGCACTGCCCAGCGCTGGGTGGTCCCCGGGGCTGGCCCCGACGGCTCAGAGAGGCCAGCGGGGATGGAGGGGACAGCATCGGTGTCCCTCTGCGTGTCTGGGGGCTGCCAGGGAGCACTGCCCCGTCCCTCTCCCCTCCTGTAGGGCAGAGGGACCCCCCGAGCCGGGCCAGGCACCTGCCCCACCGCAGTGCTCATCCCCCGGCGCATCCCAGCGGGATGGGGAAGCAAAACAGCAAACTGCGCCCAGAGATGCTCCAGGACCTGCGGGAAAACACCGAGTTCTCCGACCTGGAGCTGCAGGGTTGGTACAAGGGTTTCCTGAAGGACTGTCCCTCGGGTATCCTGAATGTGGAGGAGTTCAAGAAGATCTATGCCAACTTCTTCCCCTACGGCGACGCCTCCAAGTTCGCCGAGCACGTCTTCCGCACCTTCGACACCAACGGCGACGGCACCATCGACTTCCGAGAGTTCATCATCGCCCTGAGCGTCACCTCCCGTGGGAAGCTGGAGCAGAAGCTCATGTGGGCCTTCAGCATGTATGACTTGGATGGCAATGGCTACATCAGTCGGGAGGAGATGCTGGAGATCGTGCAGGTACCAGGCTCCTGTGTGGGTCCTACTGTGTGCTCCTGTTTGTCACCTTGGGGTCGTGGTGGCTGTTCCCTCCTGGGATGTAGGTGGGTTGGGAACATGCAGCCTGTGTTACCCCTTGTACAGGGCTTGGCAGTGCCTGGGACACAGCCAGTTGCTGCCTGCAGCTGGGGCTGCAGGGATCAGTCTACCCTAGAGCATCCCCTGGTTACCCCATCCCAAAAATCCCATTGTTACCCCATCCCAAGACACTTCCCTTGCTCCCAGGGAGGGCTGAGTGCACAGCAGCTGTCCCCAAGCACACCTGGCAGTGTTGGCAAATGAGCAGGAGATGCCCTCCTTGGCCAAATCCCAAGTGGCATCAGCATCGGAAGGTGACTCGCAGAGACACTGCAGTGGCATCTCAGTGGGAATCTCCTCCCTGCAGGAGCTGCTCCAGCCCTGGCTGTGCTGGGAGCTGGAGCTCCCCATAGCCTGATCCCATGGGAAGGGTGTGAAATGCCAGCCTGATTCCCATGGAACCCCAGAGCTCTGCCCCTGTCTCAGGTGAGTGATGCCAAGCGCCCACCCTACACCACCCTCATCCCTGTCTCCCTCTCCCAGGCCATCTACAAAATGGTCTCCTCTGTGATGAACATGCCTGAAGATGAATCGACTCCGGAGAAAAGAACGGAAAAAATCTTCCGACAGATGGATACTAATAACGACGGTAAATGAGAGGAGATGGAGGGGATTATGGAAAGGTCTCATGGCTAAATCCAGGGGTCTTAGAAGGAGCCGCACGCACGCTGATTAAATGGCTCATGGCCACTGGCACGGCCAGGGGAGCCCCAGCAAAGAGAGGGGCTCAGGGTGCTGAGCAGGGTGCTCACCCCCATGGGTGGGTGTCTGTGGGGTGTGCTGGGAGGTCTCTGGTCCCAGGCTGAGCCGTGTCCCCTCCCCACAGGTAAGCTCTCTCTGGAGGAATTCATCAAAGGTGCCAAGAGTGACCCGTCCATCGTGCGCCTGCTGCAGTGTGACCCCAGCGGTGCCACACAGTTCTGAGCCCCACGGACCCC